CGCATTCCGTAACCACCGGCGACGATATCTCTAGCCGTGCCCACCTCCGTTAAACACGCTAGCCATCTCCCCCATTGATTGCCCTTATATTTAAACGTCCGCAGTTGACAACCACCGCAGACGACATCTGTGGCTGAGCCCGACACCGTCAAACACGCTAGCCGCATCCGCCCTCGATTCCCTTTTTATTTACACATCCGCAGTTGACGACCGCCAACAACGATATCTCTAGCTGCGCTAGTTGCTGTGAAACACATTTTCCGCCTCCGATCTCGATTTCCCTGTAGTGCAAGGTAGAGGGAGCGGGAGAGGTAGGGTTGATTGATGATGTACAGTTTTGGTGGTTGTGTTTTCAATACTGCGTAATTTTTTTATGGTGATCGTGCGTATATATACATTCTTGATTAGTCTCTTTTAGAAAAAAAAAATTATATCTGCACAGTTATTCTTAAAAATCTTTTTATTGGTATCTGGACGGACACGTATGTTGTATATTCAGAACACATATGTTGTTTAACTCAAGATAAACTGATGATACTTAACCTTATTATGCACACTTTTATTTCATGTTATGGTTCATATTTATGACTTATACATTGGATAGTCATGATATATTGATCAAATTTGAATGATGGACTATGTTAGATATATTTTCACCATTATATTTATAAATATGATATATAACTTCAATAAACATGATATATACATTAGATATAAATGATGTAAGTTGCATATAAAGATGTTGCACGTATAATTATGATATATTTTATTTTATAATTTCTATTTATGATTTATATATTGCATAGTTATGATGTATTGGTCAAGTTTAAATGGTAGACGATGTTATATATATATATATTTCACAATTATATTTATATGTATAATGGAGCGAAAATATCATCTGAACATGTTCATTTATTATTGGGGTCAACATTATTGTCATTTTTATTCCTTTTTTTATTACAGTAATACTGAACGTATTGCACACTATGATGATCACTTTTTGCCTTTGTTTGAATTTGTTTTCGCACGAAAAATCTCCGTCTATGCGCGCATTTATAATATGACATGTACGCATCATTGGAGCTTGAAAAAGATGCATTGGTCTAATAGTCGTAACTTGAAGAATCAAATGATACATCATTATAAATATGATATTTATTTTAATGTAATATGGTTTACGGAATATAGTGTTATAAATAGACTGTTTCAACTCTCCATAATTTTAGGATAGGTTGACCCTAATTTTAAAGACAAATTAGTATAACTCAACACTTTTAAATTTGAATAAGGTATGATGTCTTTACCTTATCGGTTTCAAATACGATTTCACAGAACAATCGATTAAATTTTATTAAATTTTATTAAAAAATTTATCATTTTCAAGTGACTTATATTTTATAAAAAATAATAAGGTTTAAAATAATCTGAAGAAAATAATGCAAACCACAACTATTGAGTTCGACAATTCGGGTAAATTTAATCAATCTCATTGTACTATTGGAAACCTGCAATTCACCCACTGTTTTGGCCATTGGTTTAGTAATTTATGTGTCCAACTACTGATATCTGAATGAATAGTATGATTATGATGTATGTATCTTTAACATATAATATTTTGAAGATAGATATATGATGTAATAACAATCCGTGGGTACGTTACCTTACCGCATTTCGCACTTTCTATAACGTTATTTTTGTCCACGACATACTGGAACTCACCAGAACACGCATCATTTTGTTCTATCTTTTTCCATGCTCCGAGTTCTTCACTATATTTTTTCTTCGATCAACGTCGATAGATAATGTGGAACTCTTTTTTTTCTTTTCTGTGAACTGAAACAGATAATAAGCGCGACAAGTATCTATCTATATTTTTGTTCTCTTTATTAATGCTGAAATTAATAATTTTTTTATTTATTATACGAATCAAATTATATGTTTACCCCTACATGTAATCTCAACCGTTGATTCAGTATTTCTATCCGATGACTATAATTTTTTTAGGACTCTTTTGAATTATAAGATCATGAGGATACTCGGATTAATCTATCTATATTTGTGTTCTCTTTATTGATGTTGAAATTAATAATTGTTTTATTTATTATACGAATCAAATTACATATTTATCCCTACATGTAATCCCACGGTTGATTCAATATTTCTATCCGATGACTATAAATTTTTTCAGGACCCTTGTGAATTATAAGATCAGGAGGATACTCGGATTAAAATATGCTTTCTCCTGAATTTGCTTATTTAGTATTTTAATTTAAAATATTTTTTGATATAAAAAATAAAAAATTATTTCAGAAATATAAAAATAATGTTTTATATTACTCCATCCGTTCCACATAATTTGTCTCTATTTTCTATTTTCGTCCGTCCCACATAACTTGTCTTTAAATTTTATAATTTTTTTAATTTTAATTAAACTATTTACTTATCTTAATCTTAATCTATAATTATTTTTACTAAATAATAATTATTTTTACTAATATACTTCTTAATTACTTACTAATTATACTTTACCTAAATTATCGTATCTACAGTAATAATCCCATATTTTTTGGGACGGAGGGAGTAAATATTAATTTTTATAAGAGTAGAAAAGCTATATTATATATTGAAAATTATGTTAGATAAAAAAATTAATTTGCCAAACAATCCCAAAATTATAGACCAAAAAGAGTATTTGTAAGTTGGTCAAAATAATGGATAAAAGATACTTTCTTCGTTTCGATTGAATTGACTCGTTTGATTAGCGACTTAGTATTTAAAGTAATGATATTTAAAGTAATAAAGTTTAATTAGTTAATAATATTGAATTAAAATATTATTTTTTTATTTTTTTTATGTGAATAGTATTGTTATGCTTTAAAATAAAAATTAATATATATACTATTTTAATAAATTTAAAATGTGTATTTAAATATTGTATTTCAATAAAATATATGGAATATGATATCATTTATAAAAAATAAAATTTTAATAAGAAACATAAATAAATAATCCATCATCTCATCTACTTTGTCCACTTTTTAATTTTCGTCTGTCTCATTTGTTTTGTCATTATTCTTTTTTGGAAAACAATTATATTCTTTATTACTTTAATCTCATTAAAAAAAAATTAATTTACATATTTTTTAATTTTAATTAAACTAATTAATTATTTTAATTTATAATTACTTTTATCATATAATAATTACTTTAATGACTTGGCACCGTAATTAAGAAAAATAAATATTTTATTAAAAAAGTGAAAAAAATAAAAGAAATAGTTTGAGGTACTTTTAAAATTTGAGTTAATAACTAAAAAATGAAGAGAGGAAATATAATATAAGTTAGTGATATTTATTATAAGGGTAAACTTTTTTTTTAGTCCCGTAACTGGACCTCTTTATCATTTTAGTCTCGTAAGTGGAGCCTGTCGCAAACTAGTTCCATAAGTGAAAAGTTTTCGCTGTTTTAGTTCTCCGGCGCCGGAGACGCCCGCGTGGCTCACCGGAGGTGACGTGTCTGCTATGTGTCCCGACAGGTCAGCGACACCTGGCGGACACGTGGATTTATTTATTCTTTTCATTTTTTTTATTTTTTTTAATTGGACTAAATAAAAAAATACAAATAAAATTAAAAATAAGTTTAAAAAAATTTAAAAAATGAAAAAAAAAATAAAAAAATCTACGTGTCCGCCAGGTCAGCAACACCTGGGGGACACGTCACCTCCGGCGAGCCACGCGGGCATATCCGGTGCTGGATGACTAAAACAGCGAAAAATTTTCACTTATGGGACTAGTTTGCGACAGGCTCCACTTACGGGACTAAAATGATAAGGGGGTCCAGTTGCGGGACTAAAAAAACAGTTTACCCTTATTGTAAATAAGTGTTGAATAAAAATAATAATTAAATATTAATTTTTTGACTTTGGGAGAGAAAAAAAAAGAAGTGAGAATAATTTGGCGGACATATGAAATATTTACTAATTATACCGCTCATACTTTCTAAATTTTTGTGTAAACACGGTAGCCAGGATGGAGAAAATAATATTTATTTGTTTATTTATAATTAAAATAAATTAATTTTATAAATTTAAGAAATATTAAATGTAAATAAAAAAAATATTTATTAAAAAAAAAATACTTCCTCCGTCCCATAAGAAGAGTACCATTTTCTATTTTTATCTCTCCCAAAACCAGGATACCATTTTCTAATTTAGTAAGTTTACTACTTACCTAACATAATAAATACCCATAAAACTTACAATATATTAAACAAATGTCATCACTTTTACAGCACATCGTACTAATAGAGACATTTTTGTTTTTTTTTTTACTACAAACTAATATTAAAAAATTTACGTGTCAAAAGCAAACGGTGCTATTCTTGCGGGACTGAGGGAGTATAAATAAAGGAATTTTGAGTTCCTCATATATATATAATACTCCCTCCATCATTTAACAATCTATCAATTTTTCTATTTTCGTCAGTCCTATAACAAAGTATCGATTTTTTTTTAGTAACTGTATTATCTATCTAACATTACAAATACTATATTTCAATATAATACTAATATTCCTAAAACTCCGTGCAAAAAATAAATGGATATATAGATATGATACGAATGGAATTTATAATAAACTTAACTAAATTAATTTATATTTGTTAAATATATTTAAATTTAATAATTTTTTTAAAAAAATATTGACCTACCAATTAAAATGGAATAAATCAAAGAAAATAAGACAATTAAAATAAAAAAAAATAATAATAATAAAAAAAGACAAAGAAGGGGCGAAAGTCGTCAGTTTCACTCAACGGTTAGAGAGAGGCCCCACCGAAGATCCGCGTGAACCCCACGCTCTTAGCAGGCGGTTGAGACAGGAAAAAAAAAACAACGTATATTCCCGAATATGGACCACCAATGAAGCCAAATTTACAGAACGCGCCACTGCACTGCCCCATATCCCCTCCCTCCATAAGTACCCTCTTCCCTCCACCCATTTCTACCTCACTCCCAGTTCCGGCCAAATTCTCTTCCCCTCCATGGCCATTCTTACCCTAATTCCCTGCATTTTCTCTCTCATTTCACTTCTCGCCCCGCCGCCGGCAGCCGCGAGGATCCCCGGCGTTTACTCCGGCGGTGGCTGGCAGACCGCCCACGCCACGTTCTACGGCGGCAGCGACGCCTCGGGCACCATGGGTGGGTAGAATTTTGCGTTTTGAGACCCACATTTTGGTTTTTGTTCTTGTTTTTGTTTATTTGATTTGGTTTGATTCCATTTGGTTTGATTGTAAAAAATGTTGGCAGGCGGGGCTTGCGGGTACGGAAACCTGTACAGCCAAGGGTACGGCGTGAACACGGCGGCGCTGAGCACGGCGCTGTTCAACAACGGGTTCAGCTGCGGGTCGTGTTTCGAGATCAAGTGCTCCGACGACAAGCAGTGGTGCCACGCCGGCAGCCCCTCCATCTTCGTCACCGCCACGAACTTCTGCCCGCCAAACTACGCTCTCCCCAACGACAATGGCGGATGGTGCAACCCTCCCCGCCCGCATTTCGACCTCGCCATGCCCATGTTCCTTAAGATCGCTCAGTACCGCGCCGGAATTGTCCCCGTCACTTTCCGCAGGTCCTTTGCTTTTTTCCTTCTTTGTTCTGTTTTTTCCACTGTCTGTCTTGTCTTCGAGGGTATAATTGGGAATTCACCTTAGGGGTGTGAACGGCGGGGTTGGTTAGAGTCAGGACTGGACTTATTAACAATAGATGGAGTTGCACATGGGTGGGGGTATAATGGTAATTTAGGGATCGAACGACGTCGTTTGGTGCGTAACATGAAATTTCATGTGTGCGTTCATTCCACCTCAGCACCCGTCTGTTGATTTAGCTACTGCCATCTCATCCGTACGCGTCACATGTTTGAAATTCAACTCAATCTCTGCCGTCCGTTTATTTCTCTCACCAAAGCCCTAAACGGCGTCGTATCGTTTGTAAATACTACAAATTGAAAATGGAGTAATGAATAAATGGGAGCTGAAATTGGTTGCTCGCAGGGTGGCGTGTCGGAAGCATGGAGGGATAAGATTCACCGTGAATGGGTTCCGTTACTTCAATCTGGTTCTGATCACGAACGTGGCCGGCGCCGGCGACATCGTGAGCGCGAGCGTGAAGGGTTCCCGGACGGGGTGGATGCGGATGAGCCGCAATTGGGGTCAGAACTGGCAATCGAACTCGGTGCTGGTGGGGCAGGCCCTCTCCTTCCGAGTGACCGGCAGCGACCGGAGAACCTCCACCTCCTGGAACATCGCCCCCGCCCACTGGCAATTCGGCCAGACATTCGTCGGAAAGAATTTTAGGGTTTGAATGTACGGACCGACAATTCAACCATATCATATATTCCTCCCTAGGTACTTGTTTTTTTCTTTCGTTTCTTCTTCTACAGTTGGTGGATTCTGGGGGATTTGCATTGCATTGTATTGGAGCCTCCCTTGACGATCGAAAACACAAAATTGAATCGATCTAGAAGCTGAGGCGGCTGCACAAGAAAAGAAATTGCAGCCCGCAGCACATATATATCTATATAAGTTTTATCTGGAAGAGAAGATGAGATTAATTAATTACTTAATTGCATCTTAATTGGTTTTGATTTGAGCAATGTGTTGAGGTCTGGCTGGCTGGGTTTATATATAATTTTGTTGTGGCAAAGGTTGTTGAGCAATGTAATGTGTAGTTTCTTTAATTTCACAATGGAATTGGAAGTGGAAGTGAATTGGTTTTAATTATTACTCCCTCCGACTCATTTTTATTGTCCCAAAGTATATTTGCATGATTTTTTAGGTGATTGTCTTTTTTGGTTATGAATTGACAAATTTGTTTTAACTAGAGATTAAAAGTAATAAATGAATGAAGAATAAAAATGTAAAATTTTTGTTTTAAAAAATAAAATAGGACAATGGTTTTTGGACGTCCAACTAGGAAATTAGGAGATTAATTTGTGAATGGATGAAGTATTATTGTTGGGGTTCAATTTGTTGAAGTGAAGAGAAGACACTTGGGATCAGAGCCGTTAAATGAACCAAGCCGTTCATTAACTCGGCTCGGTTAAAGCTCGTTCGCGAATATTAACGAGCCGAGTCGAACAACATAAACAGGCTCGTTTGATCAACGAACGAACCCGAGCTTTGTTCGCGAACGTTCGTTCGAATAATATATTTATTATGAATATTATATATACATATAAAATTATAATTTATAAATAAATAAAATATTAATTTAAAATATATAAATAAAATAATTTTAAATTTTCTTTATAATTTATATATAAATTTTAAAAAATAAGACAAACGAGCTTAATCGAGCCTAAATGAGCCGAATACGAACACGAGCTCAAACAATAAAAATTCTTAACGAGCTGAGTTCGAACACTACGAACGAGCTCGAAAACTTAACGAACGAGCCCGAGCCTTGTTCGCGAACGTTAACAAACATTTAAAATTTGGCTCGACTCGGCTCGGATCGTTAAAAGCTCTACTTGGATATGGAAAATGGGAAAACATTGGATGGTGAGCAGTACAGTGTAAGAAAAGAAAAGAAGTAAAGCTAATTAGTCGTCCCTCAGTTTGAGTACACACACCTAAGTCAAAAAGGGTGTGATCGACTTTATTTCGGTAGCTAATGCTGACAATAGTGGAGAAAAAAAAACAGATAATTAAGGGTGTGTCTTTTTTATGAATTTGAAAAAAATTTGATTTAAATTTGATATAAAAATAATATTTAATGAAATATTTTGTAAGAGAAAAAAATATAATTTTTTTTGAAAAACACAATTTAAATAGTAAAATATAAAAAAATTATGATAAAAACATACCCTAAAGTTAAAGCTTCTTCATCTGCAGCAGATGGATAGATAGATAGATAGATAGATAGATGTGTACTTGTGCATATCCATCCATCCCAAAGGAGTCACATATATATATATATATATATCAATATGCAGTGTGTGGGGTGGGGTGGGGTGGGGTGGGGTTTTGGAATTTGAATACCAGATTGCATTTTTGTGTAATAAATTAAAATGATATTTCTAAGTTGGAAAAGATTAGTCTTTTTACAAAAGGAAGAGAGTTGGGAGTGTACGGGAGAATTACTCAAAAGTGAGCGAGGGATTTTTTTTTTTTTTTTTTTTATTTTATTTAATTTGTTTAAATTTTTCCAACGCATTCAACGGGAATTGAAAATGTAACCTCAAAACATGCCAAAAAGTGAGAGTGTGAGTGTATAAAATGGTGGACTCTCTGTCTCTGTCTCTCTCTCTTTGTTGGCGTGGCATGGGATTCTGAAGAAATGGAAAACTTTTAAGACAAGAAAAACATAGGATTCCCAATGAAATTGAAAATAAAAGCTTTGGATGCCACACACACATATATATATATATATATATAGCTGTCTGTCATCCAACCCCATTTGTCTCCAACCTCTCTTCTTTTCTTTTACTTTTTTTTTTTTTTTTTTTTTCTTTTCTTTTCACATAAATATCTATCTATATATATATATTTTCCACCGATCATATATTATCCTTATTAGTATTATTATTTAGTGATTCAAAATTTATAGCCACTCGAGAAAAACACTTCCAGGAATTAAGGTACTATTAAATAGGTAGAATCATGTCATGCGTTCACTAAAGTTTTAAAATATTTTAACAGTATTATTACATTCTACACTATGAAAATGATAAATACTTTAGCATTACCCATGTCAACAAAATAAACCATTATTATTATTATTATTATTATTATTATGATTTGTAGGCTAATAAGTGCTGCAATGTTTTGAATAAAAAATTTAATTTTATATGAAATATTTTTAAAAAATAATAAATGACATAATAAAAATGTAAGCATGAAAATAATGATGTGATGCAGTGACATGCAGTATTGTGTATACTAGTAGACCTCAATCAAATATAATTCGATCGGTCAACTCTTATAGCACAAACAAGGACTCACACCAATAAAAGCTTCTATTACATATGTGTCAACGACATGTTCATTTTAATTTTCAATCCATCTGGTTGTTTTCAAATTGTCACAATGATTCTGTAATTCATCATCTTCAGTCAAATTCTGTCAAAACACAACACGGCCGTGTTGAGAATTAAAATTGATTTAAAAAAATAAAATCACCAACCTTTATTGTTTCCAATGATAGTTGGTGGAGGTTGGTGGAAGAGTAGGTAGCCTACCAATCATGCATTGAACAAAGTCTATTTTGTATTTTTCTATGTTGGCAGGTAGAATTAATATTGGTATTGGTAGGTAGAGTTCATGTCCTATAAGTGTGTCTACATCAAGAAAACATCTTCCGGTTTCATCATAGTATGTCTATATGTAGACAACTTATTTATTATGGCTAAAGAGGTTAATCTGATCAATAATGTCAAATCATGTTGAGTCGTAACTTTGACATGAAATATTTGGAGTTAGCTGACATTATCCTTGGAATGAAAATTCTAATAAAAGACGAATGTATTGTTGACTTAGTCCTATTATGTGGAAAATATACTAAGAAAATTCAATGCTTACAACAACACTCCAACGAAAACTCGAATGGACCTCAACGTACACTTGAGCAAAAATAGCGGGATTCCATAGCTAAAGAAAAGTATGCCAAAATCATTTGAAGCTTAATGTACTTAACAAACTATACAGGGTCTAACCTGACTTGCCTTGTAAACAAGTTAAGTTGATACACTAGTAACCCCAATCATGAACATTGGAAAGTGCTAGTAAGAGTCTTAAGTTATTTTAAATTTACTCTCAATTTTGGCTACACAATGCGAAATATCCACCAGTATTAGAAAGGTGCTGTGATGCCAATTGGATATCCGATGCAAAAGACTCACTATTTATAAGTGTAAATGTATTTACAATTTGAGGATGAGGTGTTTCGTGTAAATCCATAAAACAGACGTGTATTGTATGGTCCGCACTAGGATCGGAGTTCATCGCCTTGGAAAATCCAATATTTCATACTTGACTAAATCAGTACCTCCCATGATGATTAATTGTGATAGCCAAGCTGCAATAGCAAGGGCAAGAATAGAATTTACAATGGTAAATCCTGATATATCTGACATAGACATAACATTGAAAGGCATTTGATCACCAATGGGGTTTTGACTATTGAATATGTAAAGTCAATAGAAAATCTAGCGGATCCGCTAACTAAAGGGTTACAAAAAGATCAAATGTACAAACTGCTAAAGGGAATGTGTTTGAAATCCACAAGATAGAGATTATCACAATGGTTTAATGGATAAGCTAACCTGTGAGAGTTCGGCATGAACACTCAATTACAATTATCTGAAAAATAATAAGTGTTACAATGTGCAAAAGTGGTGATGTTGAGTCAATGACTCTTAATGATCCTAAAGGTATGAGTTAGATACCTTAAGATAGGATTATATATATAAGTGTGAAGTACAGTCCGCTGCAAACGAACACTTATGAATCCAAAGACGAGATCCATGACCGAAAAAGATCAAAATGTGAAAACAAAGTTGAAGTTGAGATAGAAACACATTAATATTATTGATTAAATGTACACTGAGGTGGAACAGTTCAATGTGTCATATCAACTGTGCCACCAGTACACTCTGTAATATTGACTATGAAAGGTTCAAAGCCACAAATTCTTTTGATGTTTCAATGGCTCTCTAGGATTGAGCTGGAGCTTTGTATTTTTATGAGCACTTCAACTCATGCAAGGGATTGTTGGATAATTGTCTATTTAATCAATGGAAAAATTAAATTCGAAATTTATGCAACTAATTAATCCGTCAGTGAAAATGCAATGGACCAGTGAACCAAATTAATTGAATTAATTTGGATGAAATAATATTTTGATTAATTTTTCTGTCTCAAGACAAACCAAATTGTGCAGCTCTAAGTTAAACCCGAGTATATAACACAAGTCGCAGGACTATCTGAACAAAATTTTATCCGACGGATAGATTTATTATAACCTTAACCAAAATGTTTGAAATTAGCGTAAATTACGTCCGTCTCAAATGGAAGGTCTGAAATTATAATAAATTACGACCGCCTAACACGGAATGTTTTAAATTAGAATAAATTATATATGTAATTAAAGTCGTTATTTTGGTCATAATTGATAGCCTATCTTTTTGGCTGAGTGGAGAAGCCTATATAAAGGGTTTTCCCTTTTCATCATAAAGTACACTAACAACATCTTCTACTCCTCCTCTTCTCTAGCTTTCCGACAACCTCTTCAGCTCAGTTCATCCCTTGTCTTTGTTCGCCGAAGCTCCGACTATTTGAGGTGTCACTCCTCATCTTCGACTCGGTTTTGCGGTATATTTATTCTCACAATATCCTTTTACGCCAACAAATAGAAATTGACTCATGTTTCTTATGTTTTCTTTTCTATATGTCATTTGTTTTTTGTTTTGCCTTGTTTCTAGCATATGTTTTAATCTTGGACTTCAATTCAATGAAATTTACTAGGTTTCATATGATATGCTTTAATTTATTCAATGTGACGCACACACTTTTTATCACTACGATGTTTCTGCCTTCACATAGCAAGAACACGAGCTGGCTGATGGCGAGGTTAGGTTCTCAGTGTTAGAATCTATTAAGGATGTGTTTGTTTGAGGAATTTTGTGGAATTTCAATTATTCTTACAATTTTTTTTTTCCGAAAAATATCAAATCAAATATTTTTTTTTTATATTATAATTTTAATCAATTTTACATTCA